TGACGTCAGGAACAACTAATTTTTCACCGCTGCTCAATTTCAGTTTTCGCTCTCCAGATGGCATATCTATCGTGATATGAGGCAATTGAATAAAGGCAATAAAGTGCGCCAACTGTTCTTCTACGTATCGTTCGATAGGAGCACGCGTTGTGTTTGGAAGAGTTCCTCTTCCTGAAGAAGAATAAACGATGTGTCTAGGAGTAAGAGTAATAGTCGCGTTATAATCTTCAATTTACCTTGGAAAAAGGCCTGCGACTGTGCGGCCCTTATTTTCCAATCTGTTAGTCCTGGAAATTCGAGTTAGAGCAAACGAGGAGGCAGGTCGCGGGCCACGATTGACGACAATTGACGTTTAGTCGACCAATGCTCGGCTCGGGAATAGACATCGGCCAGTGACCGTATGACGACCTCATAATCTCTGGGAGAGAAAAAGGGACACTCATTATAGACGCAGTTTTTAAGAAGAGAAGTCTTCTTTTCCTTATTACTCATCCTTTGTCCTTGCCGGTTTTCTTGTCTCTTCATCGATCACGTCTTCCCAGACTATATCATCGTCGTTCGAAGCAAATTGATTGAGAACATGATGGAAAATGGCCTTCACTTGGCTTCGAAACGTTGCTTGGTCAAGTTGACTGAGCGTGCGATAGTTCTTGGTTGAACGCCAGCGCCCTTGGTATCCAGTGGAAGCAAGCCACCGTCTAAATTCCCGTTTTCCATTCGATTTTTGAGAAGGTGAAATTGGATTGTTGCTTGGCTCGTATTTGTTATCCCATTGAGACAATGACATACCGGCAGTCGATGGTGTATGAATAATAGCTTCATCGTACAGCCAACCAAATGGATCTTCAGCATCGTCCATTGCACCTTATTTCGCGACACATGCATTTCTGCACTGTGTACAGACACAGCCATTGTAGCTAGTAAAAAAAGTATAAATTTCTTGATGAAATAAAGAAATATGACAGATCATACACGTTCAAGCTTTGACCATGCCATAAACAGAGTGCGAGCGCTTTAAAGATTCGCTGAAGGCTAGCGGTTGAACGCTTTCTCTGTGTTGAAGACGTCTACGCACAGCTGACAGTTGTCTTTACGTCGCCGCATGTCGAGCAATGAGTCGCGATGGTTCGAGCAGACAGTATGATTGTACAGGTTGCTCGGTTGGAGATCATAACAGCCAGCTAAGAGAAGAAGATGCTCGAGTTCGGATCTGCAATCGGTAGGTGTATTGTTGGATTGTTCGAGTAGAGATGCAAAGTTCATATGATTGTCGTCACAAAAAATATAAAACAGTACAGAACGTTGTTTTGGTCACATAGAAATTCCGTGGTTTGTAATCACCTGTGGTACTCTCTGTGCAAAGAAACACGTATTTTTTTCATCGATATCCATTCGGGTGGTTTGAAGATGAGAAATGAACCAACATAAGACGTAAAACAAGAGACAAACATTTATTGAAGGTTTAAAAAAAATAAACACAGTTATAATCTAAAAATAGATAAAACTGATAGTTTATATTAGAAAAAAGTATTACATAGAACGATGAATCAGCTAAATCTCCCAATGACGGTAAGACGTCTCATGTGAAGTGGTTGCAGGGGTCGTTACGATTCAGAACAAACAAAAATAATGCCAGCGTAGATAAAAAGCAGCGTACGTGATCAAACATTATGATGAATCGAGGAGCAGATACACCACCCCTGTTGAATGTACAAAAACAACAACCAAAGCTTTGTTGCGGGTGAATATGAATGAGATTCTCGTTTGAAAATAGTAAACGGCATAATTATGAATTATGAAAGTTGAATGTAACATAAAAGTCACTTACACAAGATTACTCTTGAACTTCCCATCAGTCATCAATTCGCCCATGATATCACGATGAAAGAAGTTCCATCGATCGATAAGTAATTGCATACGATGAGCATTTGATAGGCGCTAGAGACCGTGTGACACTTTCGAAAGCAATTCAATGTAACGAAAACATTTTCGTATCGAAATTTGTTTTCCAGTCGAAGAGGATGACCATATATTTGTCTAGTGGACAGTAAAAATCTCAATGTAAAATTTGCGACAACAGCTAAACTAGAGAGTTTTCGAGCAAAACGTTTTCGAATTCACACCATCCAATGCTCAATCGCTTCATTGAACTCCAACTGTAATCAGAAGTCCGAGATAGGCAAATCTTATAGAGCTGGAAGTCAAAATCTACTCATAAAAGCATTTTTTAATATTATCAATTTTCGGTTTGTCCCTCCCGTCGTGAAGGGAAAAAATTTGAACATGAATTATGAAACAGCTACGGTTGCAATTTTACATGCCCTATTGAATGACACTAACCCCGTCCAAAACGGTCGACTGGTTGCCGAGATTTGATTGATCTACTGAAAAATGGTGTGAGTGGACAATCTTCTTATCGATTTTTAGAAACTTTGCGAGTACTTTGAAGCAGATATTTTTATGTGAAAAGATGCGTCCTTTCATGCTCTACGATATTATCTAAAGTCTACTCTAGGCTCTCAAAAGATAGCGAGAAAATAAAGTCCAGAAGGATTATGAGTGACCATAAAAGTTGGCGGTTTTTATGATACATCAATTATTTGGGCCTGATAGGTGGTACGAAGAGAACTATCAATTATAAGGTTTTGTAGAGAAAACTTCGCTCTATCGATTGGTATACAACAGTATTATTTCCAGTGAAGTTTCTGCACTAGAAAACTCGATGCACGAAAAAATCGACCCTTGTCACTGGTCTCCGAAAAGTTGGTCCCTCATATCACCATTTAACCTAGCTTCTAAGGGCTAACTTGTTGTGCTCTTTCAAACGTGATAATCGATTTCAACTATTAAAATTTTCGGCAACCGACCCCTACCTTTTTTGATTGTGGTCTCATGGACCCTCTCTTAAAGTATTTCGATTTCGTTACGAAAATCGGAACCCTTTGGGGTTTCGTACGGTACCATTTTTTTTTCAGTGTAGTGGTGTTGCTTTTAATGTTGTCGTCAAGATTTTGGTTTTACTTGGCATTTCAGCTGTTGTTGCCCTTGTCGTTATCGTTTTTCCAGTAACCAATTTTTCGACTCTGCCCTGGTCTCCCGGCAGAGGGCGCGGACCTTGTTAACCCGGGCGACGTTCGAGCCGGTATAGATTATGATATTGATCGTTCATGGTTGGTTTCTATCGTCTTGTCTTTTTTACAGACGGCGGTATCTGCACCCCTTCCGTCTAACGGTCGTTGTTTTCCCGGACTTGCGACCGGCATAGAAGTCAACAAATTGCTTCTTCTATGGTAGGCTGTAGATAATTATATGCTAATTTAAACTAGGTAGAATTTATCTGAGATGGTGAAAATATTAAAGCGATTTCCAAGCGAATTTGGGTAGGTTTCCTATTGAGAAGGGCTAATTTTTAGGATTTTTCAATAACTCTTCTATGACTATTCTTTGACATCCCGGGCGATTTTTTTCGTAACTTTGTAGTACTCAATGAGCACTTTACACCCACATGAGCCCAAGTTCTATAAATTCCATTTTGCCCTGAATCGGACCCCCTGAAAACCGTGATTTTCATCAAAAACATGTTTTTGATGAAGGTTCCCTGAACGGTAGGAACCATCTAGAGAGTTGAGTTTCCTCTCTAGTTTGATCCATTCATGATATATGCAAGTGCAGAAACTATAAAAAATGACAATTTTGTCGCGTACTTTGTGATATTGGTCAACTCATCAATGGTTCATCTGTTTGAGCTAATTCTTTATTTGCTAACACAAAATCGTGATATCTATTCACAGTAAAAATTTCAAGTCAGACACATGTGCACTTGATGAGATATCGATGTCACAAAAAAATCGTAAAAAATGCTCTTTTTTGGCGAGGGAGCCCTCAAAAAAATTGAAATATCTCGAGAACGGAACAATATTTTGTGAATCGGCTTGCGTCAAAATTCATAAAACTCTTCCCTCTACAATATTTGTTTAGATTAAGAAAAGTCTGACGACCTTGATTGAGCAGGGTCAGTCGTGGCTTATGCTGAATGACTCATATATAAACGTGACGAAGAAAATTCGACTATACAGAAGCTAGTGGTAAAACTACAATAATAGATCTATAAACACATTGCATAATCATGATAGGTATTAGCATTTTCTTAATACAAAATTAACACTAATGCCAACGTATAAAAAAAAGAATTAATTAATGCAATGCTATTGCTAATGCGACATAACTAGTCTTCACAATCTTCTTGAAATATTTGTAAAATATCAGCCGATGCTTTACTTAATAAATGTCTTCCATTTCTTATGGCTTGAAAAGTAAGTAATTCAGAAAGATCAGCATCATATTTCTCTGTAATGAATTCATAAAATATTTCATGACTGTAACTGAAAATATCTTCCGGTAAACCATTTACATCTACTGTAGTTTCAGTAGCTGTAGATGACGTCATTGAACTAAAATAATATATCTTAAACAATAAGCAGACTTATCAAAACGATAAGTGCGGGCACTGTGCAATCAATAATACTGACAGGTGCTGTGAACCCGGAGGGCTCCCAAGCTATACTTTTTCTCTTGTCTAGTACTCAAAATGTGCCGAGGTGCGCAGTAAACAACAAAAAAACTCAATCTCATAAGATCCGAGATCTATACAAACGTTCTTCATTGGAAGTGAGTAGCTCATACAGAACTTAAATAGATAATTCTTGTTTCGAGCTTCCTCACCACCACTGACTCATGTTAAGCTCTTGAGAATTAAACTTTTGGAGTTCAATGAAGCGATTGAGCATTGGATGGTGTGAATTCGAAAACGTTTTGCTCGAAAACTCTCTAGTTTAGCTGTTGTCGCAAATTTTACATTGA